TCTGTCCGGTATAATTTCGGGGATAGTTCAGACATGGCATGCGATACGCTACGCCCGACTGCTCACTGGGACTTAATCGGTCCTTTATTCGCATAAGGCTGCGCATGCTGGCCTTGGGGCGGTGCGCAATTCCGACCCCTAGTCCCCCAGCAATGCGCTCGGTCGCTTCCGGTACATCATTAATGTATGGCAGCGCATGCCACATCGCAGGGGTTGGTTCTGGTCTGGTCCTCGGAGGACGAGCACGCCGACATCCTCCCCCACCATACTCCTCACCTCCCCCGACCCCTATAACAGTTGATTGGTTCCTGCCCCCTATAACTGTTGCTCGCTTTTTGTTGACGGTTTATCTCTGGCGATGGACTCCACCAAGAGCCCGAAAGCTCAGATGAATAAAATTACGAATTCGGTGATCGCAACTTCTTCTAGACAAATATCTGGGATGCGAACCTTTGCCTCTATTCGTTATTTGGATGTGTCATTTCAGTTTCGAGTTACTTACAAACATCTCATTTATTCCTAGACTACCAGTGTGAGACAATAAAACGGCTACGCCAAATGCGTTGGCGATCTGCCTGCTACTCTTGGATTATCCACCCTATGCACAGATAAAATCCACATACCGTTAAAAGTTATTTGCACAAATACCTATCGTAAAATAACTTTCTCACCATCACTGGGGGTCACCGCTCATTTATGTTCGATTAACGTCCTATTTTCTGCGAGCGGAGTAGGATAGGCAGGGCTTGTGGGTCGACCGTGGAGCTATTTCAATTCAGCAGTTGATCCATTTTCCAATTCTATCTTTACCGATTTGTCAGATCATATGACCATATTGTCTTTCCGGCTGCAGTGTATTTGTATTTGCGCTTCCGTATTAAATATTGCCTCAACATTTCCAGCACTTAATCCATACATCATAATAAAAATCAAGTGGGGACAGTCGTCTTTGATTGAAAGTTAAGTAGGCATGATGCTAAAGACTTGTCTCCTTTGGCTTTCGCTTCCCTGCGAATAACAGATAATTTGCTGGACTGTTTTTAACCAAAGCTAGGTGGAAGATGGCGACCACCGCTACCGCCACTCTGCCTTCTACTACCACCTTTTCACTAATTTTCTCCTTCCCCACCCAAATCCCCCTTGCGTCTCATAAAAAAACATTCTTTGTTGTGAAACTGGCTTACCGGCGCTGCCTACTCGGCCGAAACAGCTTTGCTGCCTAGGACGCCACTCATTCACACTTGAAATGCACCAGAAAACAAAACGGTTTTTTATCGAAAAATTTTGGTGCTTCTGGTCGGTCATTTTGTTCTCCTAAGTTTGGCTCCTAGACGAAATGTTAGGAAAGCCCAGTGTTTTCCGGACTTTTCTTACCGAAAAACGGCCGGCGGGTTTTTCTTCTGCCAATTGACCTCTTTTATTTGCACCCCTGTCGTGGTCAGCATAACCATTCAGAATTTCTCCACCTTGATCCTCAACTGCCTGTTTTACCGATTTTTCCCCCGTTGCAGGTATTTCACTGCCACTTCAATAGTAACTTCTTTCCTCTGTTTGCCAAATCCCTGCTGGGTCCTGACACGGAAAC